GTGGAATTGTGAATTTGCAGATTTTGACTACTCCTACCGACATTAAATAACAAAAATGGGATCAGAAGAATAGAAGAAAGTATGAAAATAAAGAAGATACCGTTGAAACTCCGATACAGTTAAAGTACAGCAGATAACGTATACGACATCACGATTCTGCCTCTACGCAACGAAACCCATGCGTATCATCCTCGTGGAAATAAACCCAAAAGCCAAATGACAGAACGACACCCAAGCGAGGTAGCAAAGACATCTTTGACCAGCATCGGAGCCGAAAAGTCGCGCGACGAGAACCCTCGCGACGATTAATGCCGCGGAGCCACAGGAAATTAATTAATTGGTCCTCGCGGAGAACGCAAGTTGCGGAATAATATCCGACTTAATGAATTTCCTACGCCCACGAAACGGGACGGCCCACGTCCGCGGGCGGATCGATCGATGATCGAGACGGCCGGTGGTCGGCCCGTGACTTTTACCTGCGATCCACCCGATAATTTATTACACGCCTGTACGAGGACGTGGCCGCGCTCTTTAAACGCGTTCGAACGAACGCCGTTGTTTTGCCCGGTGAAAGGGGAAATTCGCTCGTAACGTGGTTTTCTGCGGGACACCCACGCGAATTCCTAGATCCACCGCTGCGTTCGCTTCGCACGGATGGCCATTCGTATTGTAATAGCGCCGATGCTTTCCGCCACGATGGAACGAGGAAACGGAAATTTTACAACTTGATGAGCGATTAGTCGGGGATCAATCACCCCTTTTCCCGAAGAAAACGCTGCGTATAGCGAGTAAACGTCTGAGGACTTACTCAGAGATGCTAACTCTTTCTCTGCAATCGGTTTGGTTCTGACTCCTGTGTCTTGAGCTTCTAAAGGCACTCGCGAGGCTGAAAAAGAAACGACAAAATTGAATTTTAATAGGCAATTACTAGTATTCGATAATTTTTGAAGAGAAAATATTAACCTTTTGTTCTGCTATTCAATTATGAAAAATTGTGCACTGAAATTCTCCCATAATCAATTTGCTACTGACTCTTGTGTCTTCAGCTTCTGAAGGCACTCACAGGGCTGAAAAAAAACAAAAAGATTGAATTTTAGTAAGATAATTAAGACAGTATTGTACGTTCAAACAGTATCGAATTTTAACTAATTATTTAGTTTATAATGATTAATTAGTGATTAATTTATATAAATTTCCAGCATTTTTCGTTGGAACGTGTTGAGTATAATTCCAGTGGTATGACAAGTGTACTTAAGACACCATTGTGCGGTTTGGCATGAAAAACTGGCGACGAGTTAGGCTGGCTATTGCAGCATAAGGGGTTAAAGAAGCTCGTAATCGGTTAACTGGAATTCAAAGTACGACTCATCGGATATCTACCAGCGACCGTAGCTATCGAATCAAGATTAATTGCCAGTTTCGATTACCTTAGAGACACCTTTGACAGGGGGTAAATGTAAACGAAGAATGGGCGAGGGCAAAAAGACAAAGGTAGAGTGACGGAGTAACTAAAGGATGAGGCGCGGTATAATCCCCGAATGGCCTTGAGCGACCAATCCATCTCGGTGGAAGAATAGGTCGAATCTGTTCGGCTGTCATCCTCTATTTACCGTCCATCGAATCGTCCTCCTTTACCGATTCGAAATTCATCGCACCGTTCCCTCCTCCATCGCGCGCCACTCGAAAAGGAGAGAAGAAAAGAGCGAAAACGTTCGATCGAACGGGACGAAAATGTGGGAATAATAGAAATTTTATCTGATCGTAATCCACGCGCTGACTCATATCGATTAAGACGCCTGGACAATGGGAGGAACGTCTGACGGTTCGCGAGAGCCTCACAAAGAAAGTCTGGATGTCGACGTGTGGAAGTGAACGCGACGGACGAACGAATTAGAATATATGTACGAGGTGTGAGGGAAAAAAAGGCGAGCATGAAAGTCGCGGGCGTGGGAACGACGGGCCCCAAGCGAGCCACCAATTAACACCAATTAGCGCTCATCTGCTCTAGGTAGTGGCAGCGGCGAGTGAACCGACTTTACATTTAGCACGAGACACTCGGCTCCGCGCGGATTGGCCACAACGGTGCTCTTTGTGCCGACCTGCACTGCACGGTGAATTTTGCAAGCTTCCGTCAAAGGTCGGGAAAAATGGACCAAAGACGTCCATAAATGCACCTGTCTTCCTTCCTCCGTCGAAGGTCTTGCTCTAAGAAGAAAATCCTCTCTCCGGTCTTTGGCGGTACAGGCGTGCTTGTCCCTAACTGGATTTTTGTTCGAAGTCGACTTTCTCGAGCATCATCGGTAACCTCGTGTCCCGTGGATGAATAAGCTGCAAGAATATAGAACGGCTGTATTAAAGTTAGATTAAAGTTACATCGGCGTGATGGAAAGCCGCGAGCTTCTGTGATTAGCACAAGAACTCTCTAACTAGTTAAAATGACTAGTTTCGAACTTTTTCCTTTTACAGTTACCGAGAACATACTGCTAATTTTGACAACATTAATGTTGACTTCATCGACGTAGAAACGTAATAATTATACGTAGCTATTTACTTTCATCATAAGAGTTTAATTACTATCATCTACATATATTACACCTAAGTATACCCTACGAGGCGGTGGTTTTGGTATGAAGGGAAGGGCAAGAATTCGAGAAGCCTGCTTTCCAATGTCTCGTTTTATGTCGTCGGTATTATCGTGTGACATAAATTCGAGATACTACTTCAGCCGTGCGAGAAGATACAGGTGATACTAAATCGTTATTAATTCCTTGATACGCGTCTACTTAGCAAGCTCGACGGGTGAAATAAATCTGAAATAAATTTGCCGGAGAAAAATGTAATCGCCGGCGAGATATCCTTTCACCTAATCGCAAATGTATCAGCCTATCTCTCGAAAACCGCGTGGAATTGGCGTCAAAGGTCTGCTTCGTGGGTGACTGAAAATCGTCGGGAATCACCGAACAGGTTCCACGATCGTTCCCTACCAAATCGGTCGTTGTGGCAAAAAGGCTGGTTTCCAACGGTAGAAGTGTCGCGCCGCTTTAGGAAACGATTTGTCCGCAAGAAAGGAGTGCGACATTAGCCGCGTTATCTAAGCATTTGGGTTGCCAGCGGGGGAGAATGTTTTCGCTAATTCGACGATCGGCAGTTCAGTCACGATCGAGCGGTTAGCCGAGCGTGTTGGACAGGTCCTGGGCAGAAAAGGAATCGATCAACGGGGAAACAACGAGGTTCCCACATGTATCGCGACGCGAAAGGCTCCTCTCTAACTTGGAACCCCGCGACGCGTACGACCAGTTCGCTAATCGAAAGCACGGGGATTCAGGGACGAGGGAAAAAAGAGAAGAGGGGTCGAAAAGCATGGAAGATATCTATTATTCGGCATCATTTGTTACCCGCCGGTTTCAATGCGGCGGAACGAGCACGAGCAGCATATTTTTCACTTTCCACCCGGGTTCCAAAGCCGAGGAACAGCGAGCAACCACCCCCGTGGCTGACCGATCACGCGAAACACCTGCGGTTCTAATTAAAAAATCGACCAGGGCCCTGGCCTCGGCTCGTCCCTTCTCTCATTGTCTACCAGCGAGGATCCAACCGAGTTCATTAAACCGGCGCACACACGGGCGAGCACGCGAGATCACCGATGCGCCGCTCGCTGATCCTTTTTTTCTTCCACGGGACCGGTTCCATCGGGAACACTTCCAGCTTTCTATCGTACGCCCGGACCCCTGGACACCCCTTTGGGATCCGTTGCTGCTTGCCTTTGCTGCCGTTTCTGTCTCCGCTGCTGCTGCTGCTGCTGCTGATGCTACTCCTGCTGCTGCTGCTGCTGCTGCTGCTGCTGCTTCTGCTGCAGCCTCTGGACGAACAGATAGCCGCTGTCTTCCGCGACAGCGCGATTGGAATTTATTTATTGCATTAGCCGACCGTCACTCACGGCCCTTGATTGGTGGTACCAATCAGGTTCGCCGTGGAGGAGACGCACGGTCGCCGGTGGACGAGCAGCGGACGAAAGCACGCAAACTCTGGTGTAATTATTCTGATTTGTGGCAGCGAGCACGGTGTCGCTAGTGAAAAATGCGACTTGGCTCTGATTACACGAGGGATCGGCAATTATCGGAGACGCGGTGGCCACCTTTTGATAGGACATTTGTTTCACTTCCTCCTGGTTCTCTTGCTTCCCCGGTGGTCGAACGGCGGTTCTGCGTCCGGTGGAGTAGCTTGGCTACTTTTTTACAGGATTATCGATGAGCTCGGAGGTGTCTCGGTATAGTGGAGGGATGATTGAATGTTGCGTTTAATCTTTGGTAGACGTTCAGCATCGATTGGCTTACGGTTCGACGCCAATCAAAAGATATTGATGGAATATACGCGCGCGTTGCCCGATCAAACGCGTGTGAATCGTAAACCGCGAGATTTAGGAATGATTTATCCTTGATCGATGGTCCACGTAGACGAGGAGACGTCGCGGGTTGCGGGGCGAAATTTATAGACCGTCTGGCTCCCTCGCCTCTATTCCCTCGATCCGAAGGTGGCAAACGGAAGTAAAAAATTGATAATCCCATTGTGGCGTAATACGGGAGGCTAGCGAGGGTCAGGAAGCCCCGCGTAAATTTGCAAAAGTCCATCTCGGAAGGTTCCACTTTAGGGGCCACGTCGGTCGAGGAATTATTCAAGCTGGGCAAGGGTTAATTGCTGGCTTCATCAAACCACCTCTCTTCCTCTTTCGAAGCAGCCCTAGACGAGCGTGATGTCATCTTTCCGTATTCGATTCGCGCTTGCCGGAACACGTCTCTTCTGTCTCTGTTGCTCGCGACGAAACTCGCGTTAACGACAAAAGTTCGCGACGGGTACGATGCCAGACGCAAGGCTGGTTAATTAATCGTAAGATAAAAGTCACTCGGGAAGAATTATTCTTAAGGTCTATTGGGAATTGCCAGAGTTGCCGGGATTCCCAAGGGATTGCCAGCCTCGTTATCGAAATTTTTCTTCCTTCGCAGAGGCAATTCACGCTGATCCTGCAAGCGAGAGACGAGGCGAGCGCAGGCGTGATCGAGGAAGCGAGTTACAGCGGCATTGTCCTGCCAGGACCCACGTGGCACACTCTCAATCAACAAGGAAGAAACGCTCATCTAGCTTATCGCGTTCGGGTCCAGTGCGCGGACCATTATTACAACGCGACCTGCACGAAGTTCTGCAGGCCAAGGAACGACATATTCGGCCATTACACCTGCGACGAGAACGGCGATAAGGTGTGCATACAGGGCTGGAAGGGCTCCGACTGTGAAATAGGTGAGTCGATTTTGACACTTCTTGCGGAAAAATTCCAGCCAATTAACTATTTTTATCGCTAAAACCACCCAGTCAGTCAAACTAACTAGTCGTACTTAGCTACACGTTGCAAGTCGGTAGTCCTACTACCGTTGATATCGCTATTTAACAATTAATAATCAAATTCCTCGCGTCTGACAATTAATACCAACTTCGAGTCTTCCCTAGCAATCCCTTTCCTTGTTAGACTTCAGTAATCATCGATCGATAAACGATTTACGAATTAACATCCGCCTACGAATATCTGTGGGTAAATACGACCCAACTGGAAATATCTAGCACCCTTAAACTTACGTACAATAATAAACGTCCACAAACGAAGAAATAAGACAACTCGGAACAGATCGAAGCAATAATTAAATACCTTTCTCCATCGTCATTAACAATGTACCCTCGTAACTTCGGTTCGTTAAATCATCGAACGAAAAGGCGCTGATGTTCATTACCGGAAGCATTAAAACCGGACAAAGGACGAGAACGTGTTCGTCGTAATCGAGCGGAACGACACACGATCGAGCGTACGGGATGAAAAGGGAAAAGGGAACACGGTTCCGTAAAAATGTGAATCACGGTAAGAAGTGAACGTGGAACGCTTTTGTCGTCGCTGCGATCTCGTTACGTATGCAACGAAGCGTCGCGCAAGGCCTTTGCCGAGGTATTGACGGTTAAACGATTCCCCTGCTATTTTTCCCTTTTTTCTCTCGCTACTCCGCCGGTCGAGGGAATAATTAATCGATCCTCGAAGCGTGAAATCTCGCGTCGCGAGTGGTCGCGCGCTCGCGCGACTCGCGCTCCGCTCCGCTCGCTTTTCTCACGGACGGCTGCCTCTGGGACTAACAAGCCAATGTACCTCGATCGGCTCGAATTTTCAACGGATACCTTGTCCCTCTTCGTCTCGTTTTCCACTGAAATAAAAGAGAGACAAGACTGAAGAACCAAAGACGAGATACAAAAAATGGGGAAAAAATTGGAGAAAAATAGAAAGTACGTTGGCTCGGTGCAGAGGATGGGATAAAACATCGGTGACCTTAGATCTTAATTCGCGATAATGATTATTTATAACGGGCAAGACGGATACGTAAGGATGACTCTCGAATCGAGCATAAGCGTCGACTCGCGAGCCCAGGCAACTTTTCCCCGCTTCCTCGAGCCACCATTACGTTTGATTAATTAGACACGTAGCTTCGCCGCCTCTTTGCAATAAATATAACCGAGAAACTGACCGCTTCGACGTACGGTGTGTTCGAGGCCCGAAAAACAATTATGCCTCTCTCCGGCTATAAATGCCTATCCAACAGCGCGGAGAACTGATCGTACTTACGTGTATACGTTTCCCAGCGGGCTTGTCAAGCCGCGTCAAATCGCGAAGGGAAAGCGAAAATCTGCCGGACGTTTGGCTCTCTGAGTAAAGTACGAGTCGTGGATGGACGTTTATGTACATGCTGCAATGTTAATTATAAAACGGTTAGAGACGCTGGACTATTAGCCCGAGTGAGCTAACGTTAATTCCCTTTTTATTTTTTCGAGTTTCGATAATTCGAGATTTTCGAGATTAATCACTTTCCAACGAAGAACATACATGCTCGAATATCGAGTAATTAGTAGCCTCTCGAATATAAATGTTAACCCTTTCACGAGTTCGATGAACATTTACGGTATACGTATTTATCGGAGTTACGTACCGTGGTGGCGCTAGTGAGTTAAGACTCGCTTGGAAACGCTTACTCGTGAAAGGGTTAACATCTGACGTTATTCCAAACAATAAAATCGTAATATTTAAACAGGTAACTGAACTGATATCTAGACCAGGATTTACAAATGCAAAAACTGGAAAAATTTTGTGAAAGTTCGTACTTCCGTGAGCAAAATAGCGAAGATGGATCGGTAAGAGTCGAACAACATAGGTAGGATTTTACAGATCTGACGAGAGACGAGCGTGGAACGAGTAGAGCGAGCACGTTCCACGTGGAGCTTTTATCTGGCGGAAAGCGCGAGTCTCGCGGACGTCTGGTGGGCAAAGACGCAAACAGGCGGCACAGCGAAACACACGAATTATCTCGAAGCGTGCCTCAATGGGCGGACGTTAGACGCATGTCGTACGATCGTATAAAGGTAGCGAGCAGCATCACGCCAGATCCCCTCGCACAATGCTGGTCGGACTAATACGCCAGCTCTTTCTTCGCTGCTTAATCGTTACTTCCGCCTCCCCGTGTCTACGGCTTATCCGCGGTACTTGCGTCTTATCCCTCCCTCGAGAGGCGTCGTTTTCGAAAGGCCGCGGCTAGGTGAACGCTGAAATCGACCCGAACCTCCGCGTTCTTCGAGAAACTACGCGTGGTAAGAGGGGTTAATAATATTCAACGAGAACTTCTCTACTTCTTCTATTCTTAGTTACGTTCTAAATTTCTTAATGCTATAAAATAAACGGGGGCTCGAGGTTTTCTGCGATCCGTGCAACACGGTGCACTGCGAAAAAGTGTCGCCCTTGGAACGCGTCAGCTAGGTTCCCATAGGCTCTATGACATCAGCCCATTGCGTGATTCAGCCTAATTTCGGAGAACCATCCAGCTTATCAATTTCCCTCGAAGCAAAATAGATCCCGATACAGAGTGACGACATCAAAAATAAAGATTCCTCTCACATACGGTACCCCAATAGTTAGGAGGAATTAATATCTCACACTAAACAAACCGAACCCTCACAAGAAGCTTCTCTATATATCAGATTTCCGATTTTTAAACCTCTCTCACTCGGAAATCTCGATAAGTCGACACGTCTATAACTCGAAGGTTCTATCTTCCCTTTCGAGATTCGAATTTTCGAGTTATATACTGTATTACGTGTATGTTGATAATTATAAAAGCGATCTAAGTCAAAAATTGGAAATGAAAGATATTACTTTGACTGCGAAACTAGTTTTCACAAAATACCTAGGAATTTAATGGTCAGAGCTTGTAGCTCTGTCATGATTAATCTTTTTTAATTTATAATATATTCAAAACGCTTCCATAATCATTTCTCCATCATGACATAAAACGTATCCTGGTTTTTCAATCGAAAATCGAAAATCGTGAGAAAATATAAGAAAATATAAGTAAAAATATAAAAAACGAGACTAGTTTTAATAACAGTCGTTTATAGTGGTTTTTTCGAGCCTTAATTGTCCTTCGACGGAGAATTTTAATAGATCTATTTATTCCCGGTTATGAGAACGCGTTACCAACGATGTTTACATGCTACGTTCGATAATCGTGGTATATCTTCCGCTTTTTGCCTACCGTTTCATATGCAAATGTCGCGTGCAATCGGTGATTAATTATTACTCGCTAGACCGAACGAGGCGCTAACAAAAGCCTGGATTTTTCGAAAGGCTCGGATGGTCTCGGATAGTTGAAAACGAGCCAGAGAAAGTAGGACGAAGCGCTGCTATTAGACTTTTCTGCGGTATAGTAATTAGCAACCGCGGCGATATCGTGTGAAACCGAACTGTTCCCCGTTTGCGATTCGAGGGCAATAGGAACTGCGACAAAACGCCCGTCCAATTCGCAGAGTCTCTCAGATTCCACGTTGTTAGGTTCGAGAGAACACGGTGGCTGCGTCGAGGACGCAGCCAGTTTCCCTTGACACTGTGAACTTTAGGATTTTCTCGTACGCTTAACCCCACTCCTTATCGATGAAATTATCGGCATTTGTCTTCATTAACCTCAAAGTGCGAAGCGAAACGTTCGCGCGATTGTACGTGACTTTCCGAGCAGCGATAGAAATTAGCAAAAATCTGGTAGCAGATAAGATAAGACTAGATATATCTAGATGACAAATTTATAAATTTATAAGAACGTTTAACAAAATAAATACAGTTTCGAATAAGTAGAACGAACATTTGTGTGTACAAATTTGTTCACACAGAATTCGTTCAAATTAATAAGAAGAAATAAATACCTAGATCCTAGGAACATAAATAATAACTATTTCTAAGTTACTATACAGTTACTGTACTGTTAATATTCCGATATTCGACGAAACAACGAGAATTAAAAGTAGGTATTACACAAATTTACCAGAAATGTGGTGCTTTCTCACCCCTAGTAAATGTCACCAGAGGCAAGGTCCCCGAAGAAAGGAAACGGGTCGCATCCCCTTGACACCGAATTATCCCGGTTTAACGATGCAGGAGGATCATATTATCGGTATCACAATTAAACACGTTCCACTTTCGTCGAACGCAAGGGGAAAAAAGGAAAGGACAAACGATCCCAATTAGGGACTATCGGTGGAAATCGTGTACTCGTGAGACGGCGAGCCGGTCGGTCGGTTACGATAGACGGGAGAAGAGAGAGAGAGAGATGGAGGGAGAGAACTGGCTCCGGCATTTTTGTCGCGCTGTGAAAGGTCAATACGAGAATTTCACTCGTGCATCGTCTTCACACGAGCTCTATGCACCGACCGCATCATGCAACACACCGTTCCTCGCCGAGAGTGCAGCGTATTTCTGGACGATCGTTTGCATTTGACCCCTTTTCATCGCAATCGTAAAATCGTTCGTGATGTTCCTTTACGAGGATTAGATGTATTGGAAGGAAGTCGACTGGGTTTAAAGTAACACAGAATCGCCGTGAAATTGAATCTTCCTCTCTTACCCCTTGAACCGCCATTGCATACGAAGCTTCGACCGATTCCGGGCGTATCGATATTATTTATCACGTAACCCACTCTGTCGGCAGAAATTTGAAAGCTCCGACGTTCGATTTTACGACAAATGTAATCGAGACCTGAAAAAGATATCGGATAAGACGGTGAGCGCTTTTGTGGGGAATTTTTATTATTTTACGAATGATAAATCGTCGAATATCGTAGCTAATGGCGTAAGATAAACCAGAGGTTGCCTCTTCCATGGAGAGATTATCGGCGCTGGTCCCGTGGCAAAGGTAAACGGTTGGAGCGCTGCACGTGAAAGTCGTGAACCTTCACCTGTAATCCGATTCTTCGCGCATCTGTTCCGTTCACCAGATCGGGGGAATAAGAAAATAAAGAAACCGCGGTGTACGAAGATGAATTGCGCGGGTTAATTCGCCTACTGCTGCCGGATTAACAAAAAATCCCCATAGACGTGTAACTGTAGACGTTCCCCGGTAGATTTATAGATCCTGAACAACGAGAGAACGGTACTGTACGCCAAGTGTTGTTAATGTCGGGGATCCTACATGCGAAACCACGTTGTACTTTGCCAGATAGCCACGGTGAAAGCTCTGTTAATTGCTTTTCGCACGACCAACTTGTCGAATCCGCCAAAATTTCACGAGCCTTGCTTAATTATTATGTTCGCTACAACCGTTTATGGAGAAATCATCGACCTCCACAAACCATGCTTGGATATTAATTTTACACGTTATAACTCACACTGTGAGTTATAACGTCAAGCTAGCATACGCCGTCCCTAACCTATACAGAATTCCTCCGCGCAGTATAAACAAGTATTAATTTATTTACCTCGTCGGATATCGAAACGTAGACCTTGTCACACATATACTACTACTCGAAAGATTGGGGTCACTTCCAATATCGGTGGTTCACTACAAAAACAAAGTAAAAGAAAATGTAGTTGACTGCTTCGTGTCCCTAATAGATTATTAGAAAGTTTTGCATTATATTACCATCTTTATCTTCCCTGGGCCTCCAAAATCGGCACTTCAGATCTAATCGATAGTTCATTCCTTTACCACTACTCTTTATCGTTCGTATCACTCGCACTGCTCGTTCGATCATTTACCGAACATCCATTTTACACTGGTAAATATGAAACACGACAAACATGGCCTTGCAGATTGCTTACTCGGAGAGATCGTTTCGAACCACCTAGAAGTAATTCAGAAATACGTGTGTTACGTTTGCAGAGGTGTTATTAGTAGCTATTTAGAATTCGTTTAGCAATGACCACCGTAATTCTTGAAATCGTTAAGAAACAAAACTCGCCTACCGATCAAAGTCCGCCAATCCGCCATGTTTTCGCCCATAAAACCCACCCATGAAGAAACGTTCGCGGCAGGGTAAAACAGGCGATCACAGCGCACTCTGAGTCGGTAGATTCACTCGATTTGCTCGATTTCACGCGCAAGCAAGCGCAATTAGCGGTCTCTACCGGACTGCACCCGATCGATCCCCAGGCATATCTCCAGTCGGCCGGTAATCGACTTCCCTAAACGAAACGCGATTCGTCGGTCACGAGACCACTGTGATCCTCTTTCCCGCTCTCGTGCGCACCTGTTGCGTCGTTGATGAAGAAAAAGGGCTCTCTACAGTGAGTTCATTTAACCACCGTTCATCGAACACACTAGCTCCCCGATTTCTGTACAGTAATTACTACGACACGAGTTGCCCGCAAGGGAAATCTTCGTATTCCCATCTTCTGTGCAACAATTGGAAACCGGATAGGCTAAGGTTCGATCGACAGTGAGCTGGATGCCAAGAAAACAGCCGGATGGATCGTTACGTACATGCCACGAACGTCACGGTGCAGTCGCATAAATATCCATAAACGTTCGTTGTCCGCGCGAGAACGAGAAAGCTCGACCATTAATCATTAAAGATCCCACGAGCCTGTGTGCACCGAGTCCTTCGTTTACACGTGTCTTGTGCACTACATATATACAACGCGTGACTGTATGTGAACACGTTGGGCAGGTTAAAATATGCATCTGCACGTCGTGATTGGTGTACCCTGTGGTTAAGGTTGAAAAATAGTCGGCTGTTAGCCGCGTGGAATCGTAAGGTGTCCTAGATTTAAGCAGACAGCGGTTGACAGAAGGGGCTTTGCCAATCAAGTTGAAATGTGTTGGACGAAGTAGCAGGTTTGTGTTCGAAGAATGAATAAATTTTGAATTATCATCGCTCGCACGTGTTATTACAGGGAATAATTAATTTCACGTATCGGTCACACGACTTTATCTATCGATGATCTAGGTAAACCGATTAACACTTGTTGCTAAAGTAGATGTCTACTATTCACCCCCTTCAAAAATCACAGGATAACCTCTATCCGAACTGATGGAAACGACGCGATTAACGTTTAGCTACTTCTCCATAGAGTATGTGCTTCGTAGAGCCGCATCAAACATACGATTCCTTCGATTCGTAAAGCCCTGGTGTATAACGGTAAAGAGTCAGCACATTGGCTAAAAAGTTACAAGGGATACGTGTGTGTACGCATGTGTCGCTGTGGCGTGAGTTTTCGTTTCACGGTCAGAAGGATAATCCTTCTCTCTGTCACTTCTCATTCGTCTTTCTGTCCCCCCGGCTAATTGAGTTGCTCCGTCCCCGGCCACGGATCTCTGTCACGTTTCATTTTCTCTCGTCTCCGTTTCACCGTCACCGCCACAACGAAACTGTCGTTTCCAGGGATACGGTACCTCTCGGCCGTTGGACAAAATTGAATTTCGTCATACTACCACCTGTAAGAAGAAGACGAACGCATACCTGTTACCCTGCGTCTTCGTCTCCTCTCTTAGCCTCTCTTGCCAGATGGAAGGACAACGATGCTTCCCAGAGGAGATATATGAAACGTCGGTGATCGTATAATCCGTCGGTGAACGCGACCGCGGAAAATAATCCGACACTTATGCTTTCGTGGTCGTGGGCGGATTAATCGTTTGTGTTTTAACTTCCATTCACGGTTGCCTTTTGTACCACGTTACGAAGCGCCGGTTATTGTTCGTTGCGGCGAGATTATTCCTTTGGAAAGTGGCTTGAATTATGACCGCCGGTGGCTCTTCTTTCTACGTTATTGGGACTCCGGTATGTGTGGTAAAAAGACTGGAGTGTACGTACGGGCGGACGGAAATAAAATGGCTGCGCGGTAATGTGTTCGTGGACTGCGACAAGATACTTGATCTTCCATGAAAACGATGCAATAAAGGTAAATAAAAAGAGAGAAATACGCAAATTTTATACGTATTAACAGCTTCACGAAGTTGAAAAGAAAATCAATTTATGAATTCTAAGAGCACCGATATTTCAAAAGCTACCGGAATGTAACACTAATTCACGTCTTTGCAGATTCTGATTTCGTATAACTGTTATATTAAATAACGGTTTTTCAAAATTGTTTCAACAAACCGGATATTACATCAGTTTTCAACTCCTAATCGCTGTATTATTTCAATAATGATTCCTTACGAAGCAAAAACGTACACTAAACTCACAGCTGGTTTAACTCCTTGCCCTTCCGATAGAGCGTGCCCTAATCAACAGTACAGTCGGTCACACGTCGAGACACTTCGTCCAAACACGACCAAGAATAACACGGAACTGAGGCACAAAGCATCGACGAAAATTGACCACGAGCCTACCTGTGTTGTTTACATCGACAAGCGCTACCTACAGACCACGGCTTATATCCATGGTACTCATGTTTGACCCGATTTCTTACCACAAGTCTCACACAATATTGTAGGCTATTAATCTATCTTAATTTACATCTCGATATAATAACTACCATTTATTATATATTTTCAAGGTTTAACCAGTGACACTCCTATTAAATCGTGGGCCCCTAACCGGATACACCGTAACCCTGCCTCATGGGGTAGAGACTAGAAACTAAGAAATCTAGACGCACACATTGCGTTTAAAATATTTAGACAAGAAAGAACCAAACATCTGTTTACGAAACACAATACGAAAGGAATGCGAATTGCGAAATAAAATACGAAACGAATACCAAATGAATAGAAATTACGAAAGAGAATGATGTTTACGAGAAAAGAAAAATATAAACTCAAGAAATCGGGTCGAACGAACTAAAAGACACAAAATGAACAATAATGTACCGACGATAGAAAAATATGAATCCCAAATTAGGACAGAATTCAACAATAAAAATAAGCATAAGTTTATTCGAGAATATCTTTGATATTATAAAACGCGTTGAAGTTAATTTGCAATCACTGACACACACCTAGATAGTTATCCGACTTTTGAGGTATAATGCTTCTACAGTTTAAACCTAATTTATACAAATTTGGAAATCGAACCAAGTATACTCTTTACTTCCCAGCCCTTCAAAATATGATTTCCAGCTCAGCAACTTAACGTACTAAACAACTATACTTTTACAAACCATACTATATTCTATCTATTACACAAATTAACAATCCAATTGTTTCAGCGGTCTGTAAGGAAGGTTGCCACCCTGTCCATGGGCATTGCAATGTAAGCGGCGAATGCAAGTGTCGACATGGTTGGCGCGGCGAACTCTGCGACCAGTGCACCCCGTATCCTGGTTGCAAACATGGATATTGCAACGGTTCCAGTTGGCAGTGCATCTGCGACACGAATTGGGGCGGTATCCTCTGCGACCAGGATCTCAACTATTGCGGCACGCATGAACCTTGTCAGAACGGGGGGACGTGCGAGAATACGGCGCCAGATCAGTATAAGTGCACTTGTCCCGAGGGATTCTCGGGACCGACCTGCGAGAAGGTCGACAATCCTTGCGCCTCCAACCCCTGTGCTAACGGGGCGACCTGCAGGGAACTAGGTGAGAGTGCGCATTGCGAATGCGCGCCTGGCTTCAGTGGACCTTATTGTGCCACTGATATCGACGAGTGTGCCTCTCAACCCTGCCAAAATGGTGGTACCTGCGTCGATGGAAAGAACGGATTCGTATGCAATTGCCCTCCAGCCTGGCAAGGTGTTCTCTGCCAATTCGACGTGGACGAATGCGCTCTGAAGGAGTCGCCGTGTAAGAACTCGCTGACCTGCGTCAATCTTGCTGGTGATTACAAGTAAGTATGCATCGAAGATTTTGTAGATCTCAATTTTAGTAAAAGCAACCAATTCTCCATGAATAAACATACGAATGATGTGAGCTTCAAAGATAAAAAGAAAGTAATTTCTCTTAAGTCTCTTTCATTTACTCTAACTTTGATGTCCTTTCTCCAGGTGTCGCTGCAGGAGCGGCTTCACAGGAAAGAATTGCACGAAGAACATCAACGATTGCATCGGCCAGTGCCAGCACGGGGCATTATGCATCGATCTGGTCGATGACTACCACTGCAGTTGCACCGCTGGTTACTCAGGCAAAGATTGCGATGTAGACATCGACGAATGCGCCTCAAAACCCTGTCAAAATGGCGGTGAATGCAGAGACCTGGTTAATGCTTATGAATGCGTCTGCCCGGTTGGTTTCACCGGATATCAATGCGAGATCGACAGGGATCATTGCAGCCCGAACCCCTGCAGAAATTCCGCACCCTGCTTCAACACACAGACTGATTATTACTGCCACTGTCCAGAGCAATGGCAGGGAAAGAATTGCTCCGAGCCAGCTTCTCATAATCCCCAATTTGGCGTTATGGATGAAGAGTCTGGCTGCGGTAGCGAGGGCACACCATGCGGTGGTAGAGGCAGATGTAGCGGTGGCAGATGCATCTGTGATGCCGGCTACACTGGGATGCACTGCCACGAGAACATCAATGACTGTAGGGGAAACCCTTGTTTGAACGGCGGCACGTGTGTCGATTTGGTTAATTCATTCCAGTGTATCTGTAGGGAGGGCTGGACTGGAGATCTGTGCGATCAAGGTGAGTGATTCTATTCATTTTAATTCTATTAAAAGTTACATATTAACGTTCCAGATTAACGTTCAAATCCTCATCTCCTATTAAATTATTTGCAAAATTTAATTGTTCAAATCTTTGGAGTAGAAAGTATACAATACATTTATATTTTTAATTCATATTTCTAATCCGTACAATTATCCTTCAGACGTGGACGAGTGCACAAACTCACCCTGTCGCAACAATGGAACTTGTGTGGACGGTGTTGCAGACTTCACCTGCATTTGTAGAGGTGGTTGGAAAGGCAAAACCTGCGCACTTCGTGCCGGTCACTGTGAACCAGGTACCTGCCGCCATGGTGGAACTTGCCAAGATCGCGGCGATGGATTCACTTGCCATTGTACTCCAGGATGGGAAGGTGCTGCTTGTCACATAGCATCTCCGGCGTGTGCGAGTAATCCTTGCGAGAACGGAGCAACCTGTGTGAACACTGCCGACGGAAACTATAGATGCGTTTGCCGTGAAGGCTTTGAGGGTCCGAATTGTCGTAGAGATGTCGATGATTGTCAACCATTACCCTGTCTAAACGGTGGCAAATGCGTGGATGGAATTAACTGGTTCAGGTGTGAATGTGCACCAGGTTTCACAGGGCCTGACTGCCGCATAAATGTAAATGAATGCGCTAGCGATCCCTGCACAGGTGGATCTACCTGTGTGGACGGTATAGCGAGCTATTCCTGTATCTGCCCACCAGGAAGAACCGGAGTACGTTGCGAGATTCGCACCGCAGGTGGTCCAGGATGCCCCGTAGCCAGTTGGGACGATGATTGCAACGTTTGCGAGTGTCGTAATGGAAAGAATCAATGCAGCAATATCTGGTGTGGTCCTGGTAATTGCCTGAACGGTACCTCATGTCTGGCTCATGAGGTCTGCGTGCCTAGTCCAAGCGAAAGTTGCCTAGCACCACCATGTCCCGCCTGGGGAGAATGTCGCCCTGTAGAGACTGGAAGAAGAGTAGGACCTCCTGCTCTACCTGCACCACCTTCCTGTTGGCCTGGACAGGCTACACCGGGTCCAACATGCTCCAGACTCACTATTCTGTTAAGAAGAGATACCCTGGCTGCTGGTACGTCGGTAGAAATCCTCTGTAGGCGTCTGAGGAAACTACTGGCCGATCCGAGAAGACCGCAATCAATAGTTCTTCTATGTGATCTTAAGCCTGGTGATAACGATACAGTGGAGGTGACCATCTTCTCAGAAGCTGCCGCAGATGCAGCCAGAGACTTGGGTGAGGCTCTCAGCAGACCCCTGGGCAGACCTCTCGCTCTGGCCTCCGTGCTGGAGGTCAAAGTGGAGACGGCCTTGCTCAGCGAACCGAGCTCCGTGAACTCCAGCAGCGCCGGAAGCTACGTAGCCGTTTTAGGCGGAGCTCTGGCAACAGTTTTGGTACTGGCACTATTTGGTGGGTTATGGTATCTTCGAACGGTCAGACAAAGATCTAGCCTAACAGCAACGACCAGCAGTGAGACCTCGTTGCATCGACACCGCAGCGATTTAGACGAGAAATCGAATAATCTGCAAAACGAAGAAAATCTAAGGAGATATGCGAACCCTTTGAAAGACCAGGACCAAGGAGAACCAAGGGTTTCCGTGGTGAGACCACTGTCTGGTACTTCGTTAGGTGCTCTAGGTGCGACCGAAGAAAGCTTAGAAATGGTATCG